CAAGATCCTGTTTTCATTTCCTTTGGATATATACCCACAAGTGGGATTGCTGGAATATGGGAGCTCTATTTTTAATTCTTTGAGGAACCTTCATATATATATATATATATATCACTGTTCCCTCACTTTTCTTGCAGAAATTACTAAAAGAATTGAAGAAAATTAAGAGCTCAAATATAGAGAAATCATGATATGAGACTGGACTTATTCTCTGAAACCATCTAAACATAGAAATGTCTCATAAGTATTTCAGTTCCAAGTATAATACTAAACACAAATATATATATATATGTGATGAAATGATTACCTTAATCAAAGAAATTAATATACCCATCATCCCACATAGATTCGTTTATTTTTTAGGTGAGAACACTTAAGATCTACCCTCTTAGCAAATTTCAGTAATACGATATTCAATACAATATTTAATAATTTAGTCATACAGTATTATTAACTATAGTCACCATACTGTACCTTAGGTCTCCAGAACTTACTCATCTTATAACTGAACGTTTGTTCCTTTGACTAACATCTCCCCATTTCTCCCCAACCACCAGGCCCTGGTGACCACCCTTCTATTCTGTTTCTAAGAATTCAACTTTTCATAATTCCACATACAAGTGAGATCATGCAGTATTTGTCTTTCTTTGTCTGGTTTATTTCATTGAGCATAACGTCCTCCAGTTTCCCCCATTATGTCACAAATGGCAGGATCTCCTTCTTTTATAAGGCTGAATAATATTCTATTATATATATATGCATACACACACACCATATTTTCTTTATCCCTTCATCCATCAATGGGCACTTGGGCTGCTTCCTTATCTTGGCTTTGTGACTAACACCACAATGAACTTGGGAGTGCAGATATCTCTTCAAGATCCTGTTTTCATTTCCTTTGGATATATACCCACAAGTGGGATTGCTGGAATATGGGAGCTCTATTTTTAATTCTTTGAGGAACCTTCATACTGTTTCCCATAGTGGCCGTACTGATTTACATTCCCACCAAGAGTGTAAAAGGGCTTCCTTTCTCAAGTCTCTTGATTCCTCTTTCTCATATCCCTTAGCTAGTCCAACAGTAAATCTTATCACCTTCAAAGTCAATGCAGAATCTCACCACTTCTTATTGCCTCCACTGCTGCCACCTTAATCCCTTAAACCACCTTTTCTTTGTATCATTATAATAGTCTCCTCACCATATTCTTTACTTCGCCCCTACTCTCTGTGGTTTATTTTCATCAGAGCAGCCAAATGACACTTTTAAAATATAAACCAGATTATGACATAATATGTCCAAAATTGCCAGTGGCTTCCCTGTCACTCAGAGTAATGGCTAAATCCGAACAATCCTACCAGTCCTTTCATGACCGACTTCCCCACTACTTCTCTGACCTCCG